TCATTATGCCCTTATTTCATAAAATTAGCCTTGCAGATGATAGTACCCATCATGCACTGAGCCATGACATTCCGATCCAGACTAAATAAGACAAAAATCCCTCCTCCCTTTGGGAAGGTGGAGTTGGGATGATAATCAGGGAATATGATCCCAAACCCTTCCCTCCCCGGTGAATATTCCGCCCATTCATTTTTACACCCTATGTAACTAACTTGCCAAAGAAACTCAGGGCAGCTGCTCACCTTAGCCTACCTGCTCTCCCCTGAGAGTGTATTATCGATCCTTTAATAAGTCCTCACTTTACCTTTTTAGCCTCTAAGTCTTGTCTCTGAATTTTTTCTGGGACGGGACAAGAACCCGGTACACCGGTTGCATCTATCGGCGACATCTTTGGCGAGCCAGCCAGGAGATTGCAGATCTGGTAAGCCAAGGCCTCTCGCCTCCCTTGTGCTTGAGAGGCACTAACTCTTTCTCTCTCTATTACTCTCTTATCTGTCACTTCTAGGGCGCTCGCCACTAAAACCAGTCTCTCCGGTGAGGGGATCATGGACTAAAGAGACGATAGTTCTGTTCTGATAGTTGTTCTTGTCTACCCAAAACAATTTTCTATGCTGCATTCTATAGGCACACAGTTAAGAGCTTAATACTACCCCCTCCCCGAGGCTATCCTTGTCTCCTCTCCCTGCCTCCACCTCACTACACTTTCCGGTCTTTCTCTACAAAAGGGAGGGGGGAAGGAGGAATTTACTGAGCACTTCCCAAACCTTGCTGCCAGGTTCGTTTTCTATTTCTCATTGTTACATATGCACAGGGCTCGTTAGGGAAAGTTCCCAACAACTTTCACAGGCAGCTAAGGACCCAAACAACCTATAGGGTATTTGCCCTCTGGGTTTTGAAAATAAATACAGCTTTAAATAAACTACAAGAGAGCTCAGACAGCAGCTGAGGCTACAGTCCCTATGGGAGCTCCCTCCAGCCACAGATGCTCACTAGGGGACCATGTCCCTGATATTGGTGGGGGACAATCCCTCACCACGCGATAGGGTTCAGGCTATCATTTGCTTCCTACCACGGCACAAGGTCCTGGCGTCTAACAGATGCCCCCATGGTACACTATGTGTATGGGGTCTACGCCCACTCCAACCCCGCCTCTCTTAAGGTGGGACAGGATTGAGGCAACAGGGCCAGGCTCTTGGCTGTGCCTCACTGACACTGCACTTGGCGTTTGCCACCCAGGCCCTCCGTTCCCCCTCAGTAAAGTCATGATGCTTCCACCTCGCATCACCATACCCCTTCCCCCGTGCGCAGCCCCGCGCCCGCTGGACGAGCACATGTGGGAGGAAGAAGGGGGATGGAACGCTGAGATCTGGGGCATCACCCACAAAAGAAAGAGGTTATCCCACTGGGTCTTCAGGAAGGTCGCCATCTCGGGTTCTGCAGACCCAGGATGGGACACGGTGATGCTCCCTGGGACCATCAGGGCAGGTTGCCATGTGGGGGGTCGCTACCCCCACACCGGCCAGGGTCGAGTTGCCATGTGGGGGATCGCTAGGGTCGGCAGGACTAGGTGGATAGGGACGCCTGGAACCAGTCATGTCTTACGGAGTCCCCAGGGGACCTCCTAACGTTAATGCTCCTTCTCTGTTACAGGAGCATTCTCTCCCTGAAGGATCCATGGGAAACACCTCCTCCATCCCCAAGGACTCACCTCTTGGGTATACATTCTGAGTCACTGGAACCAATTTTCTCTAGATTCTTTAAAACGGAAAAAGCTCATTTTCTTTTGTAACACAGCCTGGCCCCAATATAAACTCGGGGACAATGAGGCCTGGCCAGAAAATGGAAGCTGTAATACTATCCTACAGTTAGACATTTTTTGCAAAAGACAGGGAAAATGGACAGAAGTTCCTTACGTTCAGGCCTTTATGGCCTAAAGAGAAAACCCAGAGCTTTGCAAGTCCTACGTAAGGGAACCTTGTCGGCTGGGACCCATTCAGGCTACACAGAAGCCCTCTACAATAGCAACTCTGGAGGAACACAAGCCCCAGACAGAAAACCCAAGCCCAGATGCTCTTTCACCATCTTCAACCACTCCCCGACTCTATAAGCCTCTTTACCCTTCCATACCGAAAGTGCAGCCAAACTTTCTTTGCCCCCTCCAGGAAGTAGCAGGTGGGCCTCAGGGAATTACCAGAGTCCACACACCATTTTCTTTGACCTCAGCCAGTGTTGCACTCGCTTGGGCTGATTCTCAGAAGACCCCAGTCGGTTCACTGAAGAATTCCAGGCACTAACTCTCCCCTTTGATCTTACATGGAAGGACCTAAATATTGTCCTTTCCCACTGCTGCACCACTGAGGAAAAGACCCGTATCTGGGCACAGGCTCAAACATATGCTGATGGATTACACAACACCCAGCCTCAGCAATACCCTGTGGGCTTGACAGCAGTGGCTCTAATTGATCCCAATTGGGATTATCAGCCAGGCCAGCCCGGCATCACTAGAAGGGACCACATGGTCCTTTGCCTTATTGAGGGAATGAAACGGTGCCTAATTAAACCTGTTAACTATGATAAGGTTAAAGAGATCACCCAGAGCCAAGATGAAAGTTCAGCCCTATTTCAGGCTCGGCTGGTAGATGCCCTCAAAAAGTATACTAATGTAGACCCAAACACTTTCGAGGGACATAATGTATTTGCAACCCACTTTATTAGCCAATCAGCCCCTGAGATCCGTAGAAAGCTTCAAAAGCTTGCCATGGGGCCCCAAACCCCTCTTAACCATCTTATTGACATGGCCTTCAGTGTCTTTAATAATAGAGACCTGGCTGAGGAGGAAAGAAAGGACTAGCATGACTTAAGATGGGAGCGATGGCAAGCCAAGCTTCTGGCAGCTGTCGTGACAAAACCTAACCCACCTCCTGGCCACCCCAAAAGAAGACCCCCACCAGAAAGGGGAGTCTGTTTTGGCTGTGGGAGCCCTGAACACTGGAGCAAGGAATGCCCAGGAAGGCGGTCTCAGCCTCCACCCAAGACGCCATGCCCACTCTGTAAAAACATGGGCCACTGGAAGAGAGAATGCCCTCAGCTCCAAAGGGAGCAGGGAAACTCCCCCACACCAGTCATGGCAGTGGTTGATTGACGGGACCAGGGACTTCCCAAGGCTCCTCAGAAGACAGTCATCATCACACAGGAGGAACCATGGGTGACCACTGACGTGGCAGGTAAGCTTGTCCAATTTCTAGTAGACACAGGAGCCACGTACTCTGTCCTGACTTCTCATGCTGGGCGGCTTTCCCCCTGAAACCTGCTCTATTGTTGGCGTGGAAGCAAGGCCAAAGCTAAAACATTTCACCACTGCTCTAACTTGCGCCTGGGGAAATACCCTTATAACTCATAAGTTTCTTGTCATGCCTGAATGCCCCAGGCCATTATTGGGAAGAGATTTTCTCTCAGCCTTGGGAGCAACTCTTACTCTCCCTGAAAACCAAAAGCAGGGCTTATTTTTGGCTGGAATATATATTACACAAGATACAAACAGTCCAGCCAAAAATATTCCTCCAGAAGTTAAAAAACTTGTAGATCCACAGGTCTGGGATCAGGGAATCCCAGAAAAGGCAAAGTTTGTCACTCTTGTAAAAATAACTTTAAAGGAAACTAATAACTTCCCTTCTAGGCGCCAGTATCACATAAAACCAGAGGCTCAACGAGGCCTCCAACCCCTAATCTCAAAATTCATTAAATATGGGCTTTTGGTGCCATGCCAATCTCCCTGTAATACTCCAGTCCTACCTGTCCTCAAAACAAATGGGGAATACAGAATGGTCCAAGATCTTCGAATCATAAATGAAGCTATAATTCCTCTCCATCCTATTGTTCCCAACCCATACACAATCCTCACTCGGATCCCTGAGGACACAGCGTGGTTTACAGTCCTAGATCTTAAAAAGATGCCTTCTTTTGCATACCCATTCACCCTGATTCCCAATACCTTTTTGCTTTTGAGCGGACTGATCCAAACACTAATGAAACCCAACAATATACCTGGACTGTCCTTCCTCAGGGATTCCGGGATAGCCCACACCTGTTTGGCAATGCCTTAGCAAAGGAACTAAGGGAACTCAAATTGGAGACGGGGGCATTATTACAATATGTAGATGACCTCCTTATCTGCAGCCCCTCAAAGGAAGCTTCAGACCAAAACACTATACAGGTCCTCAACTTCCTAGGCTACAGGGGATATAAAGTATCCCCACGAAAAGCCCAAATTTCCCCCCAGAAGGTTACCTACCTGGGACATGTTTTAAGCCCAGGAAGGCGTGCCCTTACAATCCAGCGCAAAGAGGCAATCCTCCACTTACAGCCATCACACAAAAAAACAGCTTAGAACCTTCTTAGGAATGGCTGGGTTTTGTAGAATCTGGATCCCAGGGTTTGGTCTCATGGCAAAACCATTATATGAAGCCTTAAAGGGGGTAGAGCCTCTAGAGTGAACTGGAAATTTACAAAGAGCATTTGATCAGATTAAGACTGCCCTGACTAGCGCCCCAGCCCTGGGGATTCCAGATCTAAACAAGCCCTTTACTCTGTTTACCTCAGAAAGACAGGAAATAGCCCTGGGAGTTCTCACCCAAAAAGTAGGGCCAATTCCTAGGCCAGTGGCATATCTCTCCAAGCAACTGGACCCAGTGGCCTCAGGAAGGCCAGGCTGTCTGAGAGCTGTAGCAGCCACAGCCCTGCTAGTTGAAGAGGCCACAAACCTCACCATGGGCCAGCTCTGGAAGTACTAACCCCACATCAGGTACAGGGAGTATTAGAAATTAAAGGGCATCAATGGCTGACTGGGGGACACCTCACAAAATATCAGGCCCTCCTTCCTGACTCTCCTGAAATAACTCTTAAAGTATGTCAGACCTTAAATCCAGCCACCCTTATGCCAATAGAAAGCTCAGAGGAACTGGCTTATTCTTGTAATGAGACCATCGAGCACGTATATTCTAGCAGACCAGACCTTAGGGACCAGCCCCTCGAGGACCCCGATGCTGTCTGGTTTACTGATGGGAGTAGCTACATACATGATGGCATCCGAAAAGCAGGGTATGCCGTAGTGGACTTACATAAAATCATAGAGGCAGATGCTCTGCCACCTCAGACCTCGGCACAAAAAGCTGAACTTACAGCCCTAGCTGGAGCTCTAAGACTAGGAAAAGACAAGAGGATCAATATCTATACAGATTCTAAATATGCATTTTTGGTGTTACATGCTCATGCTGCCATTTGGAAACATAGGGGACTCCTGACTGCATGGGGCTCCCCAGTCCAGCACTGCCAGGAGATCTTAGAGCTCCTAGATGCAATACAAGACCCCAAGGAGGTAGCAGTGATCCACCGCAAGGGACATCAAAAGGCAAACTCAGATATAGCAAGAGGAAATAACCTGGCAGACAGAACAGCAAGAAAAGCAGCTCTTAAAGCCTCTTCAACCCAAGCTGCCTTGCTCCCCCATATACCAACCCCCAGCCCACTTTCACCACCTCGGTATACAGACAAAGAAATAAAATGGGCTAAAAATAGAGGATACCAAAAGGGCCCTGGTGGTTGGTGGATTAAGGAACAGACAACAATGCTGCCCAGAGCATTACAGTGGAGAATTTTAAAGTCACTCCATGACTCCTCTTATCTGGAGAAGGATGCTTTGACTAGCTTGGTAGAAAAAGTTTTCTCGGGCATGGGCCTTCCTCAGACTATCTCAGAAATCACGAAGGCCTGCAATATATGTTACTATAACAACCCAGGGGGAAAACTTCAGCCCCTCCCCTTCTCCAGCCTATCCAAAGGAGAGAAACTTATTCAGGAGAGGACTGGCAAATAGACTTTACCCAGATGCCATCCTCCCAGGGATATAAATACCTTCTGGTTTTTACTGACACTTTCACTGGATGGGTGGAAGCCTTTCCAATGAGGACTGAAAAAGCTCAAGAAGTCATAAAAACATTATTAAAAGAAATAATTCCTCGGTTTGGACTCCCACGGTCCTTGCAAAGTGACAGTGGCTCTTCTTTTGTGGCTAAAATTACGCAACAAATTTCTACAGCCCTAGGCATTTGCTACCACCTCCATGCTGCCTGGAGGCCTCAATCATCAGGAAAAGTAGAAAGGGCAAATCAAACCTTAAAAAGAATCCTGGCTAAGCTTTGTCAAGAAACATCAGAACCATGGACACAGCTCTTACCCATAGCCCTCCTGAGAATCAGGGTGGCACCAAAAAGCTGGGCTAAGGCTCAGCCCCTTTGAAATGACCTACGGTAGACCCTTTTTATCCTCTGATATATTGGTAGACTCTGAAACTGCTGAGCTTGTTAAATACTTAATTAATCTGGGACAAGTTCAAAAGGTGATTACAGAATATGGAAATCAGATTTTACCAAGCCCCAGCCAGGAAACAGCTTCCACTCAGGTTCAACCGGGAGACTCTGTCCTAAAAACGTGGAGAGAAGGATCCCCCTCTGACCAACTATTGCCCAAGTGGAAGGGGCCTTACCAGGTCCTTCTCAGCACTCCCACTGCAGTAAAGTTACAGGGGATCACTAACTGGGTACATCTTTCTAGAATTAAACCTACCCCTCCCCCAGAGTCTTCGCAGGACACAGAGGACCTTGGACAGCCAAGGGAGCCCAGGTGGACGAGTGAGCCTCTTCAAGACCTAAGACTCTTGTTCAAGAAGGACAGAGGCACTTCGCAGATCCCAGGCTGAGTACCATTATTTCCCCTTGTGCCTGCTGTCACCCTCGTCCGCCCACGCTGACTAATATGCTCTGGTGGATTTGCATACTTACTGTCCTGGTTCTCCTGCTCGCTCTCACAATCTTATGAGTGCCGCTTTATCACCGCACCCACACCTGAAAAAAAAACAACTGCTCTGTCAGTACTGGGTTTAGTAAAACCCACTCCAAATCTAAAAGACACCCCACAGTTTCTTTTTTTTCTCTTCCTTTTTTTTCTTTTCTTCTTTCCTCTCTCTCTCTCTCTCACCCTCCTCCCCCAAATGCTAGGTGCCCTAACTCCACCCTTACTTGTTGTTGTCTCATTTATCCAATCTCTTTGGTCTCAAGAGTTAACATGGAAAGATAACATAATAGTCAATAACTCTCGGATTATTGCTAAGGGAGAAAATCTCTCTCTCTGCTGGATTTGCCATCCACAACCCACCACCCCAGGAGACACAAGCACTACTCTCAAGGCCTCCCTAAATATCTTTAAGCCTATAAATTGGAGTGATATAGTGGGCCAGCCTCTTTATACATCATCCTGCACTCCTAACCACATACATGTGAGCAATGACAATTCACAAACTAATGCCAACAAAATTTCTTGTGCTAGTTATTATATCAGATATCCCCTTACTATGACCCTCCCTGACTATGGACCCCCTCCTGGATACTCCAAACCAAAAACAAAATTCACAATACAGATGGGACCTCTCCGTAACTGTCTCCCACCTCCCAAAAATTTTCTCCAGCTGTATAACCAAACCAATCACACAGGTTTACCAGCACCACCTGGATTATTATGGCTATGTGGAACCTCAGATAACTACCTCACAGTGAGCAAAGCCATTGCTCTCTCACACCTAGACACTTCACTATGGGGACTGCACCTTGGGAACCGTGGCTCCAGACCAAATAACTGCCCTCAATGTGACTCATGTGAGACAAAAAAGAGCCTTTGGTCTGATACTAGCAGGAATTACAGGGATAGTAGCTGCAGCTGCCCCTTGGGGAGGATTTGCCTACCATGAGACAACCTTGAGGGACCTAACCTCCTCCCTGGATAACGCACTAAAGAAAACCGGAGACACTCTAACACTCTTACAAAACTCCCTTGATTCTCTGGCAGGGGTAGGTAGTCTTTGACAATCGCCGAGCCCTAGACTATTACCAAGCGAAGGAGGGGTTTGTGCAGTCATTAACAAAACATGCTGCACATACATTAATGTCTCAGGAGAAGTAGAAGTAAATGTTAAAGAAATTTATGAACAGGCTTCCTGGCTCCACAGGTACAACCAAGGAAAACAGGAATGGACTGAGACACTTAAGGGATGGTTTCCAGGATATACCTGGCGTCTTCCATTTCTAGGCCCCATAGCCACCATATTTCTCATCTTTCTCTTTGGTCCTTGTATTTTTAACCACCTAGTAAAATTTCTATCCTCTACAATACAACAACTTCATCTTCAAATGATGATGCAACAAGGATCCCAACCCATCCCACCTGAAGATAAAGACCATCAACATCCACTGGACAAGGCCTCTGCCTCCTTCTACTCCCCACTCTCCATCCCTGCCACTACTAACAATCCCGAAACCCCTATCTCTGACAGATAGCAAGGAGATCTGGGCCCACAGGTAGGGACC